TAAAATTGTTTAACTTTAACAAAAAAAAATCGTTCTTTGTTCGTTTGTCGGCTGTGTTTTAGAAGTTCTGTAATAACTCTGAAGAACCACGACTTGTATTTCTGCATGCTTGCTGAGATATTCTCCCTTGTCGTGTTCACATGTTCACATTTTTTCGTCAGATAATTCGAGCTCTGCTGATGATACTCGACTTTTTCGGTCACTTTTTTCCTGTCAGTTTCGCTCAGGTTTTGCGAGCAGACCCCTGGTTGTCCGGCCGCCAGAATGCTGGATGAAGATCCTGCTAAGGTACACTTCCAGAGTGGCGTTAATCAGATTTGCCTTGACCTTGTGGAAAACAAGAGGAGGGTGAAGTTAGTAACAGAGAAAATAATCGCCAATTATTGGGGATATATCGTTCTCCCGCCGTGCTCGATCACTTTAAACAGCCTTAATTGCTGAGAATTAATTCAGAAAATGTCCTCGTATGACTTTTGAATTACAACTTCCTGGTGGCTCTTTAGAGACAGACGCATTAATTCAACTCAAATTTACCCGTTAAACAATTTAAGACACAAGACAGAATGAGATGCTACAAAACTGTTAGAGGATCTAAACTGGAGCCCTGTGGACGCCGCAGGTTCAAAGTCAATCTCAAGATTGACAAGGCTAGTTTTTGACATATACAATAGGTAAAGTGTAGCTTTAGCAATGCCAAACTGTATAATGACCTTTTCCACACCAAGACAACTTAACGATTAATGCTGCATATTAACTCCATAATGAAGCAGAATAACTCGATCGCTTATGGACTTGTTAGGGTTTTGGATCATTATAATTGATAAAAATGACAAATAAAACTAATTTTTTTAGGCTTTTGTCGAACAGGAAATGTCAAGCAACATTGGGTCTTTGCTTCGGATCTGTAATCAAAAAATGAAAAACAATTAGAAAATTGAGTTTAATCCAAAAAAGTGCTGAATTGTGTCTTGTCTGATATAAACCACAAATGATTTAAGATGTATGACTATTTCGACGGATTCTGGAATATATATAAATTCTTCGCAATGTACCAAAGCATTTTTGTATCACTGTTTGTCGGACACATAATCATTTTGATAGTTAGTTTTTTTGTACCTGTGCAGAGGAGCGATTGCTCCTGATGAGCAGTCACTGAACAGAGGATGCGAAAAGGCCGAGCAGTCCTGCACCTTCAAAACTCTGAAGCAAACGACAAAAAAATAGCATTTAAAGTAATCATGGTTGATCGCACAACAAAAACACTTCCTGCAATTATATTTAAGTTTCGTACCAATTGGTTTGTATACACTTGACAGAGTGCTTAACTTAAAGGCCCTAGTCATGCTTTTCTGGTTATTAACCTCGCCCCTGTGTTATGTAGCTTTTTTGCATGTGAACGGTGGCAGATCACAAACCCTCAAAGGGTACACGCGGCCTGTTGCGAGTAAAACCTAACGCAGAGAAACCTGTCTATGGTGCGCGCGCGGGGCAACCGTGCCTCGTTGGAGCGATTTCTCTTTACCATGGA